CGCAATTAAATTTCCTTATGGTGCAATTAAGTTGCAACTCAATTGAAATTTGAAAATAATTATGAGGACCATCTTTAATCATTAGTTAATAGATATATATCAGAACTCATAAATTATGGCTTTATCCTTTTATGCTATGATTGAATCATTAGAGAATAAGCCAAAATGGATTATAATTATTTTAGATAATAGTTTACATTATCATAATGCTGATCTAATGATAATATTAAGACATTGGTTAAAATAGTATTAAATAAGTGTAAAGAAGAGGATATTTTTAAAGATAAGAGAAGTAAAAATAACTATTGATAGTCATCATGCTCAGATATTAAAAAAATTTCTATCTTAATTAGAGAGTCTAATAATTTTTTTAAATTTTTAATAGATTATTCATGCTATTAAGAATTAAGTAGAATCCTAGCAAAAAGAATAGTGATGTAATCTTTTACTATATAATTAACTTTTTTTGAAAGGATTTATATAAATAATTATATAGTATTTTATATGTATTACTAGTCTAAATGCTATATATATTATTTAAAGTCTGTAATGCATATTTCAATATGAATATAATTTTTGCAATTGTGATATAAGAGCAAATTTGATCATTAAATTAAGATTACAAAATATTTTACCATATTAATGAGCTTTATTTATTAATAAAAAAATGTTCAGCTAAAAACTTTACGATAGAAATAATATATTTTAAATAAAAAAGTAGAAAATAAAAAGCATTAAGTTAAATTAATATAAAGAAAGGCTAACTTTCTAATTTTTTAGTATTTTAATTTGATTTAAATTCAAATTAACTGATAAAGAGAATACTTTTTATATTTTAATTTTTTAAGTGTATAATTCCTTAATCAAAAGTATTTGAGAATAAATAAATTTTGAAAGTTATTTATTAAAAACTTTTATTATTCAAAAAATACTTTCTGCTATTCTTTTTGCTGAAGATTATATGTTTTAGATTAGATATAATAGAAGGTGTTGATATTGAAATTACAATTAAAGAAATTCAAAAACATCTATTATACATTAACAACTAAATCAAATAAGAGGTAAATTTATAATCAAGAAGAAAAAAATAAAATAATTTCTAATATTAACCTACTTTATTTGTTTAAATTAAAATAAAAAGCAAAAAATACAATTCTATTAATTCTAATCAATTTGAATAGACCTGGCTAGAAGATAGACTAATGGAAGGAAATATTCATGATTGAGAAATTTCTAATATTGTAATGAACACAATTTTCACTAGCATATTTAGCTAATTTGCAAAAAATAAAATTGAAATTCTAAAGTTTATGTATCAGTTCATACAGTTTCAAAAAGTCAATGGATTGTTTCTATACCAAATACATCAGATAACAAAATAAATTATACCTTCTGTTTGCATTATATTTATCTAATCACCACTTTTTTTCAATTTTGGTATTGATTTCAAAAGATTGACAAAAGACCAATTATTATTAAAATTAACAAAACAAAAATAAATGTTGTCAAAACTGCTAAAAGAAATGAGTTAATTAGAGAAATAGAACTTGCTATAACCAACAATATAAAAATAATATAAGGTAAAAAAGGTTTATAAGAAATTTAAATAAAGGCGTCTAACCTTATTTTTTTATTTTATTCAGATACTTCTGATGTTTCCAAAGAAAAAGAAAATATTATATGATAAATAAATTTGTTTTGAAAGTATACAAATATATAAGAAACCCACATTTTAGTAGTAATTCTTTCCAAGATTTTCCTTTAAAGTCTGGATGGGAAAGATTTTTTTCTTTTTCTTGTCACAATATTAGGAAGAGGTTTGTTTTTATAAGTTAAGTCATTGGTGTAAAACATCGAATCTACCTAGCTATAACGTTAAAAAGTTAAAAATCACAAAACTTAATAATGAAAAAGTCCGTGTTTGTTGTTTGCACATTAGTGTAAATTACAACTATTTGCGGTTTAATAATCAATGATCTTCAATACTTAAACTGGGTCATTATTTTTAGATGTGCGGGTGGGTTGAATTGTTTTCTTTTTTCCCAAAAGTTTTAAAAAAAATCAATTCTCATTTCTTACAACTATAAAGATATAGAATTCATTTTTAACACCGCCGATATGAAATATATCTTCTTCTAAACTATTTAAACTGCATTTTTACTTGGTTGGCCTTAACGATTTATTAAATATGAACTTTTCTTTAATGATGTACATCTAATTAAATGGGGGTTTACAAGCACGCCTTAAATAAAAAATATATCAAAAAATTAACAATTCATTGAAAAGCATTAACATCAATAAAGAAGCACCTAATCCTAACGATAAGCAGAATTAAGTTAATATTACTATTTTGAACAATTTGCCATTTTTAATTAGTAATTACATAAATGTTTATGTGGCACTTAGTTTGGTGATGTTTAAGTCTAAAGGATTTTCTTTGATCGGATAAAATAGTTGATTTTAACTCAGAAAAAATTTTATTATTACAAAAACATTTCTTTAGTTCTGACCAAATGTATAGCGCTGGCCTGAATTCAATTTTAATCGATTAAGACTATAAACTATAAGTCGGTTCCAATCTGTATGTTTTTGTGTTTCACTATTAACTAATTTTATTCATCCAGAATTACACAACATTTCTCTGATAAACTCATACAGCAAATGCATACTTCTAATTTATCCCTTGATCGACTCCAATTGATTAATAATATTTAAATTTTACATTATCTATTGCATTTTAAGAGAATTATATTTTAAAGTGTTTTATTTTTTTGTATACAATTATCATTTAATTGTCTTGTTCTAAATATTATGCCAAAGATACGAAAAAAATGCTAGTTTCGCAATGTCTAATATTTATAATTGAAATTAGTTTAAATAAATTATAAAATTATACAAATTTGAGAAATGCTATATTTAAATTATCCCGAGAATCTAATCCCTCGTCATATAAGTTTTTCGTATTGTCATCATAAGAATGATTTACAACTCTTCAAATATTAAATAATGTAATAAGGAAAAGTTTTTTAGACAGAATATTTCGCTAATCATAGTTTAAGTTTTGCTGTAGTAAAATATTATTGGTTTTTATAAATTGATTTCATAATAGGCCTGTTCAATTCTTTCGGCTTTTTGATCGGAAATCCATTAACCAACCCTAACATGTGATCAAAATCAAAAATTGAGTACGCTGATCGGATCATTTTTTTTTCGTATAATAAATTAACAAAATGTAGGAAGAATATTTCGTTGTTGTTGAAGTTCTATTTGAAGAATATTTTGTTGCAATTGAAGAGGAGCTTGAGAAACTTCTTGCTGAAAGTTAGGCAAATTTAAACGCGGAGTTGAACGAGTAATGTTATTTTTTTTTTCCTCTTTTGAGATCCAGAACTATGAGAACTGGAAGAGCTAACACGTTTAGTCAAAATTTTCTCATTAGATTGCATGTTCCTTAAATTGTTTAAAGTGTATTAAAATTTAACTAGACACCAGTCGTGTTTAAAAAAAGTGATCAAAATGTTACCACGTTTTTTTTGTTCAGAAAGTTCGGGTTGTTGATCATCATCAGCCAATAATTATCAACTCAAAACCCGAACAAATATCCGAACGATCAGAATTGAACAGACCTAATATTCCTTTGAAATAGATTTTTTATTTATCAAATGTTCTTTTATTGGTTTTTAAAACTTTATTAATAAAACTATACAAACGTGAACCAAAATATTAACTATATATATATTGCAGGGGATAAAAAAATTTATAATAGGGATTTAAAACTGAATAGTCTATTGGACGATAATTAAAAGTATCAACGTTTAAACAATCTCGTTTCCTAAACCATGTAAAATTTGTTCTACTTTCTCTTTCTCACTTTCACCATTAATCACATGACCTTTACGATTTCTCTGTTGAAAAGTGACACGAGAAATGACATACTGTTTATATTTTATATCCTCCAACAAATATTTTTGCTCTGATGGTTTCTCTGTACCACTATCCGGTGAAACTAAACCCAACAAATACAGACAAATGAAAAGCATAACATCTAGTAATGCGTTACGCTTCCTTTTAAACCAACTGTGAGGTTCAAGGTGCTGGTCAGGGTTCTGGTTATTCATAGAGTTAGGGTTATTACTAGAGTCAGAGGTATTCATAGTGTCAGAGTTATTCTTAGAGTCAGGGTTATTCCTAAATTCTTGAAAACATAGAAAATCCTCTAACAACCAACAGTTTATTACACCAAAAAACCCAACAAAACAAAGAATTCCATCCAAAATAAACGATGTAACAAGGTCATTAAAATTAAAGTCCAGAATAATAACTACAATTAAAATAATAGAACAAAAAAATGCCCACAAAGAACGACGAAACGTCAATTTTTCTAATTTATTATTCCGAGATTGGATAAGTTCTTTCAACACTTTCAAGTTTTTAACATCAGGACCATATTCTGTAGCGAGGTTAGCTATATTTAAATCAATTTCCGAGATAGTAATTTCCTTTGTACGAGCTGAACTTAAAGTTTCCGAAATAGTTTTCATACTTGTCACAAGACTAGCAAAAGTACCAGTCCCAGCTATGGAATTCCTTACAATTCTTGGAACAGTCAGTTCTATTGAAAAATGTGCATTTACATAAACAAAAACTACTCCAAGTATAAATGTAATGGAGTAGAAAACAGTATATATAGTCATGTTTCGTTTCACGTTTTCAGTAAAATTATAATTATTCTCCACAGCTCTCTTTACCCTTTCCAAATGTAGTTTTCTTTCCATGGCTTTATCTGACCATTCGCCCATGGTATTTGGATTTTGATGGTTTTGATTCATTATTTTCTGAAGAACTGACCATTCGCCCATGGTATTTAGATTTTGATGGTTTTGATTCTCCATTTTCTGAGGTACTGACCATTCGCCCATGGTATTTGGAATTTGATGGTTTGGATTCTCCATTTTCTGAGGATAACTTGGTTTTTTTTATTATTATTATTATTTATTTATTATTTTTTTTTTCCTCTCCATTTCAAAAACTTTTTATAAGAAATTTTTAAACATCAAATGAAAAGCCGTTTTGGATGAAGATCGTCGATCAACCTCCATTTCGATCGAGGCTTAACATCTGCATTACCAATTTTATGCATCTCAATAAAAAAAAAATGAAAACGTTTTTTGGGATGTGTAGGTGTAAAAATATCTACATTCAACAATTTCCCAATTAATTATTTTTGAAAGGTCATTTAGACCAATGATTTTTTTAATTATTTACATTGTTCGTACATCATAAAAACATATTTGGTTTATAAGATCGTCCTTTTAGGAAATTTGTTAATTGATAATAATGTTCCAAATTACAATGTCACCTTCCATTTAAATTTTAGAGCCGTATTCATTTTTAAATGAGATGAAATTAATCTTTATGCTAACATAAATGGAAGTGAAAAATTTCGGGTAAGGAGTCAATAAACCCAAATCTTAATTAATTAATTTTGTTTCAGAATCTTTTGTAATAAAAACTCACATGAATGGCTAGCTTTACGCACCTTTAAATGGAATTGAAATAACTTGAAATTTGAACTTAAATTTGGAAATACATTGAAAGTGCTTTACTAGCAAAAACGATAAGGTATTTTTGTACATCTGAAACTAATGTTTTGATGTAATTGAAAAATCTATCTAGTTATAACATTATCAACGTTTGATGTAGGACAACAATTTACTCAAGTAAACTTTTAACGTGCATGATAAATTTCCAATGAGGTGTTTTGAGAAGGTTTCAAAATTAGGTAAATTAATAATTTATGGTTGTGCTGCTTATAATTAACAGTTATTCGGTTTGTCATACTTTTAGAACGGTACGAAGAGAATTTTCAAATTCGAAATCTGCACCATAGAGCTGCGACTCGTTACCCATTATTCGGATACACCCGGAGAATTATATTTTAAGTACCCCGGGTCATAAATAAACACAGGTAAATACACGGTTTGTATCCGTTTTATATTTATAAGGACGACCCGAGTACGATTAATTCAATTTAATTAGTAAATCGATATTATTAAAAAAATTTAAATTCCCGTATTGTTAAGGGATATTTTTTTTTGAAATTTTCCTTAAGAGCATATATTTGATAAAAATAAAATCAAAATTTTAAATATGGTAAATAAATCAGTAGTTAATAATTTTTGGTTCAAAACTCCAACGTAATTAATAAAAAACAAATAATCAATCTTTTACATTTCACATATTATATCGTTGGTATAAAGTTTCATGTAACGATAAGAAGTCAAGAAAAGTATCAACATGAAGTATCAAAAGAAATCACCAAAAAACCTAATCTTTAATATTTGATGCATTTTTAGCGTAAAATGGTGTTCCATGTATTTTGAATTTGGATGTATCTACAATAATTAAATTTACCAAGAATCATAATTTAAATTAAATATAATATTCTTTATACCTCTCGTCACGCCTACATTAAAACCTATCATTACTAACAAAACCCCACATTAAGCAAAGTTTAAATTGGCAATAACAAGTCCTGT